ATTTTATAAAAAAAATTTTAAAGTAAAATCGGTTACCTAATCAATCAATTTTAAGTCTATTTATAGTTAATTTTTTGGTTGTTATCGCAAAACTTACGTTAAATTTTAGTCAAATTTGAGTTACGTTTTGGCTCAACTTAACGCAATTTTTTTGCGCCAACTTTATGTTAAAATCCAATATTTTAACTCAAAAAATGGCAACTTGCGTTAAAATTTATGAAATCAACGCTAAATCAACGCAAAATTTACGTCAATTGACCGATCGGTGAATTCGCTAGGGAAGTTATGCCGTTCCATCGTTATTAATAACGATGTTGTACAACGGAACGATGGAACGGTATAAGTTATAGGAACTCTTAACTGCTACATGTAGCAGTTAAGAGTTCCTATAACTTATACCGTTCCATCGTTCCGTTGTACAACATCGTTATTAATAACGATGGAACGGCATAACTTCGATAACGTTATTTTGGAACGTTATTCATCAAGAACGGAACGGAACGTTACTGGAACTAAAATAACGCGTTACCAGTTATTTTGTATGTATACAAAATAACTGGTAACGCGTTATTTTAGTTCCAGTAACGTTCCGTTCCGTTCTTGATGAATAACGTTCCAAAATAACGTTATCGAAATAACGACCCACCTCTACTTCAGTAGCTCCGACGCTGTCTTAGGCAAATGTGTATAGTTTTTAAGAAATACATTTTCGCCATTAACTGGAATTTAATGGATTTAAACAATACTTAGTTTTTATTTGCAGAAATGCATTAAAACAAAACAAACAAATTCGATAAAAATAAAACCTATAAATTCTCAAACAAAAATAATTCTAAAATAACGAAAATAACTTTTTTCTAAATTAAATGTTCAAATACACCACCAGCAGCAGTTAAACAATACCCTAGCCTATCATAAAGATTCCTGCGTACGTTAAACAGCATTTCAGGACTAATATCTCCCAATGTATTAAAGATTTGCACCCTTAATTCATCGAGATTATTAGCACTGAGCTCTTGAAATCCACCCCTACCACAGTGGGCGGGGTTTGGCACTTGTTTTATTTAAGTGCACATTTGTAACGTTAATTATATAAATAAGTAAAACATATTGACCATAAAATACATGTATCTATTCGTTTTAATACACACTGTATACAGCTGTAGCAACTAAATCCACTCAGTGTAAAATTCAAAAACTTCTTAACTCTGTCTTTGATATGCTTATAATCATATATTTGTTATATGCTTATAATATTAACTATATGGATTACTAAAGTGAACACTAAGACTTAATATACTAAAATGTGATTGATAATCTATTTTATGGTCAATATGTTTTACTTATTTATAAAATTAACGTTACAAATGTGCCAGAATATACTTATCTTGTCTTTTAATCTTAAGGAGTCAGTGCCATAATAGTGCCATAATGGTAATGTTTACATTACCATATATGTAATAGTCCTTACTACCTGCTTACAAAACTAGTACATTTAAAAATTGTTTTGAACCTATTATATGGCTACCACAATCTTTAATACTTAAGTAAGCTATATCTTTTAAGCATAAACTAAAAAACACCTGTTAAATGTTCAACGTTTAAGTATTAATTTGTAAACTTTTATGTTAACTAGGTTGAAGTGTAAGAATAGTGTAAGCTAAAGTTCCACCTTTTATATGCATTAACCCAATAATTATTATACAATAAAGATTTTTTATTATTATATATATATCCAGATTTGACTCCTGAAAGGGTCTCTATTAGAGTTGCGACAACGTATTGTGGATAAAGCCCGTATTACAGTCTGCAATTCTAGGTGCAATAATCTTGCACGTGCAATAATCTTTCACGAAGGCATGCGCATAGCGACGTTTCATGCAAGTTTATTGCCGTTTCAAATTATCGGTCCTGCTCGATTTTTATTGCCAGTTCGGTTGGAATTGCAAAGTGTTTTACAGTCTGCAATAAAACTTGCATGCAAGAAAGTTACTGCAAGTAATTGCAGACTGTAATACGGGTTTAACAGTTATATTAGACCGGTGTTTCTGCGGGCATAAAAGAGGTATCTCAACAGGGCAGCCAAGAAATACTAAACCTGGGAAAAGAGATAACCGATCTTCAAGCGGGCATCATTGCCATACAATTGGGTTTCCAACGAATGAGGGAGAGCAATCCCACGGAGAAGTTGCTCACCATCATTACACACGAACCAGAACCAATCCAGGCACTGGAGGCATTTGAAATCAATTCGAAGGCCGTACTAGAATGTCTGAGAGATATGACGGCATTAACCGAAGCACAAAACCAGATAACTCTTATCCTTGTGCAAGAAGAAGGCAGAAACAGTTCGATGAGGTGGAAGCCAAACTTCGCAGCTGATGAAGCCGAAACCCTGCTGATGGGGCCGGAACCCACATGCGGCACCAGCCAAGAATCATCCAGGAAAAAACTAATTGACTGGACAGAACTACAACACAAACAATACTGGGAAAGCCTGTCTGGTCTGGAGCATTCGAAAGCACTTTTGGACAATCCATCTGCTGAAGGGCAGAAACCAATGAGGACATATACCAGGACCCAACTAAAAAAAGCATTAGGCCTTTTCACAGGCCATGCTCCATTCAAAAAACATCTTCACAAAATGGGGATGACAGATGACCCCTTGTGTAGAGGATGCGAAGAAGAAGAGGAAACACCTCTTCACATTATGTGTCAATGTGAGGGATTCAACACCTTAAGAAGAACACACCTGGGAGAGTCTAAACTCACACCAGAACTTTTAAAATTGCTTCCACTGCCTCGGCTACTGCGCTTCATAGAAGCAACGGAGCTAGAGCTATGGAAGTAATACCATTTAGGGCACAATAGGATTGCGAAAGCAAACCGCAGTGCAGGGCTTTGAACCACCTAACGGGGGAGTTTTAGTGGGTATACGTCAATAGACGGAGTCCCACACTACTCGGGGCCCCAAGAAGAACCGAGTGTTCGTAAAGAATTTCTCCGCCGGCCAAAGAAAAAAAAAAAAAAAAAAACAGTTATATTAATAAACTTTGTTTTAAGGTTCTACTATTCTCATTGATTTCTGCGAAAAAAATCCTTGGCTGTACTTTTTTATTTAAATAAAAAACGAAGTGTGCTGCTACCAAATTTCAGAGTTTTTTTAAAACGTCACGTGACAAAATAAATCGAATAATTTTTTTTAGGGGAAGTTTGATAATTCGTCACATTCTGTCACAAGGGATGGGGTTAATTATGACTAGAGGCAACTAAATTATGCGTTTGAAAACTCCAAATTATGCGTAGGAATTGTGCCATTTTATGCGGCAATTGTGCGGGCAAAATTGGGAAAATATGCGCCAAGTATTCGGGCAAAAATAAGGAATTATGCGAAATTATTCGGGCAGAAATCAAGAAATAAGCGAAAATTATGTGTACTTTATAGATTTGGAAGAAAATAGTGAGTTAAGAATGCATTATTTTCATTAAACAAAAATCTGAATAGGCAATTGCAGGTCACACACGTTAATAAAACAAGTGAGTGATAGTTAAACGAAGTAGTATTTTATTTTCCATAAAGTATTTTGTAAAAGAGCAGACTAGGCAAATCTTTCAAAGTCAACATAAACATAAATTATGTTAGATAAGTTATCTAAGATAACAATTACAACATTAGTAATGTTACATTACAGTCACAATCACATCACATTGTCATTTAAGTCTAGCATTGAATAATCCTTATCTTAGATAGTAGATAAGTTATCTACTACATCTCCATCACAATTAAAGTGCTCCATTTCCAACTTGCTGCCAAAATACATGCACATGTGCATTTTCCTCCAGGAGGACTACTCTCACAAAGGATAAAGTTGAGGCAATGATGCATCATTGCCTCAACTTTATCCTTTGTGAGAGTAGTCCTCCTGGAGGAAAATATGTCTCCATAAGCACTAAAGCCTCTCTCAGTGTCCACATTTGAAACAGACACATGTAACACTTGCACACAGGGTATCACAAAATTTACATATTCCCTAATCATAGAAATTAATGCAGCAGATCCTCTTTCTCGCCTTTTTTAGATTTATCTTTAGAATTTTCTTTGACTGCATCTGCCAAAATACACTACAAAATTTGATGATGGGATGGAAGACAATAGACTTATTTTTTCTTTTGCTGCAATAACACTTTCAGCTGAAAGATGAGCAGTCAACTTACAGGAGTCAAACAAAAAACGAGAGGACTCAAAGAAGTCCTTCGCAGTATCCTCCTGCAACATTTTTTTCAGTAAGTCACAGCAGGAGGTGCAAAAATCTTTCATTCTTTGCAGCATTAAGACTAGTTTTGGTTTTTTCGAAACTCGCGTGGCGGAATTAATGTACTGTGCATTAAAAGTGATTTTGGCCGAATGGAAACCAGAAAACGCGTAAATTATGCGACAATATGTGATATTATGCGCATAATATGCGGAAATGCAATATGCGGTGACCGACATCGAATTATGCGAAATTATGCGGACTGGAAATGATGCATACTGGACTCATAATATACCAAAGTGTTCAAAAATTGATAATATCTGCACTTTTGAAAAAAATATGCGATTATGCGCCCGCATAATATGGTTGCCCCTAATTATGACCATTTATAGCGGCCTAAGGTTTATGGATGGCCCCTGAAATCTATTGCAAAAGATCCCCCTTAAAACTAGTTTCAAGTGGGTTATTTTTTTAAATAAATTTATTTTTTTAATTGATTGTACCAGTATAAAGCTCTCAAAGGTTTTCATGTTTGTAAAAAAGTATAGGAGACTTTCCAAAAAAATAAACTAGTTTACTTACACTTAATTTTTAATGATATTATATTGACAGAAAAATCGTTATAAATTTAGATAAATTTCAAAAGAAATTTAAAAGTACACTAAAAACTATAGCAATTATCAAAATAATTGAAGTTAACAACTAAACTAAAAAAAGAATATATAACCTTAACAAAACATCATAATCTTACATTGAAGTGGGAGACCAAAAATTCATTTCTCTCAACTCAGAAGGTTTTGCCTTATATACTAAATTGGGCTTATTGTTATTATTAGCAGGTATTTCATCTACATTTAGTGTAGATGTTGATATAGATGAAGCTTTGTCCAATTCTTCCTTAGATTCTTCCCCAATAAATGTCTGGGACATAGTTCTCCTTGCCATTAGGTTTGACAAAATCCAACTGCCCTTAGTCTGGTCAATATCTGCATATGCGCTAGTGAAGAATTTGTTCACGCGTCTCCTGCTTTTAGGAGAACTGTTTGGAGACTGTAGCGGGGAGGCGGGTAAAGATCTGCTACCTCTACGTTTTTGGGGATCAAAATGTTTCAAGTCTGGGTCACAGTCTTCGCCATGTGCCAATGTGAAATTACTGATGACTTTGCCAGAAACCATTTGCTGAGCGACCCTTAGTATGGATGAGCCGCATTTTGCGGCCTCCCCTTTAAAACCATCATCAATGCCATTTGGTTTTACTTTACCATCTGATGTTACATTTAGAGACAGTCCATCTAAAAAAATAATTCTTATTATAAAATTGGCGCATAAAGGCCATACCACTCTGTGTCAGGGATTTAAGTACGTTGTGTCTAGAGTCCCGAGGTGTTTCGATCCCGACTGACGTCATAATTTGACATTGTAAATGGTATTATTCCCCGAGCGTTATAAAGGGCAATGGGTAATTTTCGTAGGAAATTGGCGTCGTTTCTTTTTTGCACGGTCATTAACAAAATATAGTTTGTGTTTTAAGGTTGCAAAATATATACATTAGGGCGTTATTAACCAGCTTGTTTTTTTTCGCAGCGCTCCCTACATATTTAGTTAATGACCTAAAAAAAATTGTCAGACTCATATAAGCCCTTATTATTCAAATTAAACCTTGACACCTTTCCGATTTAAAGAACATAGGGTTTCAGCACGTTTTACATTTAATTTTTTTCTCCCGAGCAAGTTAATATACAGCAATAAGAACACATATTTTATAGGAAATTGAACGCTGTATAAAAAAGCTTTCCCATGATTTTTCGATAAATTCACTGGTTCAAAAGTTATTTAAGGTAAAAGTTGAACTTTTCGTTTTTTTTAATTTGACTGTAAATTATCATTATTTTTATGAAAATGAATTGTTAATTTTTTGAAAATATGTGATTTTATTTTATTATTGAAAAATTATTTAAACGATATAAGTGAAAGTTATTAACAAGAGATTTCGATAAATTCAATTTTTTTTATTACGTTAAAAGAATATGGTACTAGTTTTAATCAAAATTTTAAGCATACGATTTTATAAAATATGACACAATAAAAAATGTTTCCGTGCCCATTTCCTTTTCCTACAGCTAATGACGTAGACATTTTTTTACCCAAAAGCCACTATTGCTAACTTGACTAAAACGCCATAAAGTCACAGCTCTTCAATGTAGAAGTAGATAATAGTATATTATGTATCAAGTTTTATAAATGCCATTTTACGAGTTTTATTAGACACGAGCGAAGCTTGCAAGCGAGTGTTTAATAAAAACGAGTGTCTAGAGAAGTTTATAAAACGAGTTGCATACTATACTTTATCTACTACGCACACGAAGAAGAATTTAAAGCCAATTTTATTTGTTAAACTTTTGACATCTGTCAACTTTTAACGGATTTAACCTCACTTTTTTCTAATTTATAATAAAGCTAACTTCAGCCCGTGACTAAAATGCCCAAAAGCCACTATTGCTAACTTCAGCCCGTGACTAAAACGCCATAAAGTCACAGCTCTTCAATGTAGAAGTAGATAAATACATTTAACTTATTTGAAAAGGATAATTGATAAAGCGGAAATGTCTGCATCTCATACTCAAGACAACATATGCGGACCTAACTACGAATTTTATTTTGTCGTAAAAATAATTGTTAAAAGAATTTCTACGTCATTAGCTGTACTGAAGGAAAAATTTTTCATTGTATAATATTTTATAAAATTTTTTTATAAAACTTTGTAGAATTTCACAGAAATAAAAAGATTATGTAAAAGTAAAATTAAGTAAAACTAGTACCAGATTCGTTTAATGTAATAATTTTTTTAAAATTTATCGGAATCTCTTGTCTATAATTTCCACTTATCTTTCTTCAATAATTTTTAATAATAATACAATAAAATCACCCGGACAACATTCGTGATATTCATACGAACATCATGTCGTGATTTTCACAAATTTTATTCATACTGATATCATACGGAAGTCACCGCGTGATAAATGAAAATCATACTAACGTCACGTCGTGATTTTCACAAATTTTATTCATACGGACATCATCCGGATGTCACAGCGTGATAAAGGAAAATCATGTCGTGATTTTTTATGCCATCGCTGTTTACGATTGACTGATGGCACAAAAAATCATGTCGTGATTTTTTATGCCAACAGTGTTTGGATAATCATCGTTCGTACACTAAGAGAAAAATAATGTTGAATCAACAGTTTATGCGGTTAAATACATTTAATATTTTCTTGGATTTAAATTAACTATATATAGTTAATTTAAATCCAAGAAAATATTGAATGGTAAACTGTTGATTCAATTGTTAACATAATTTTTCTTTCAATGTACAAATGTGTCGCAAAAATGGATATTTAATTGTGCGCCAAATTCGTACATTGAAAAAAAAATATACCTACATATATAATATATATGTAGGTATATATATTATATATTGAATCAACAGTTTTTGTGGTTAAATACATTCAATATTTTTTTGGATTAAAATTATTAGTTAAATTACATCCAAGAAAATATTAAATGTATTTGACAGCAAAAACTGGTAATTCAATTGTTAACATACTTTTTTTTTCAATGTACGAATGTGGCGCAAAAATAAATATCCAAACATGTCGGTGCACCGATGGCATAAACAATCATGTCGTGATTTTTTAACCCATCGGTCAATCGCAAACAGTGATGGCATAAAAAATCACGACATGATTTTCAATTTCACGCAGTGACATCCGGATGATGTCCGTATGAATAAAATTTGTGAAAATCACGACGTGACGTTCGTATGATTTTCATTTATCACGCGGTGACTTCCCTATAATATTAGTATAATATTAGTCGTATGAATAAAATTTATGAAAATCACGACATAATGTTCGTATGAATATCAAGAATGTTGTCCGGGTTCAATTAAAAAAGATATTCCAATGTTTAACAAAACGTTCACGTTCACGTTTTGTTAAACATTGGAATATCTTTTTTAATTGAACCCGGACAACATTCGTGATATTCAACGTTTCACAACGTTTTATAAATGTTATAATTATAACGTTTTATAAATTATAACGGTGTAATGTGAATAACAAACTAGGTTTTAAATTCGCAGTTCGCAGGGCTTATGCGCATGCAAATTTTGCAAATATCACACCGTGAGTTCTACATGATATCACTGTGATGAAGCATGGCATAAAAAATCACGAAATGATTTTCATTTCTCACGCAGTGACATCCGGATGATGTCCGTATGAAAAAAATTTGTGAAAATCACGACGTGACGTTCGTATGATTTTCATTTATCACGCGGTGACTTCCGTATAATATCAGTATGAATAAAATTTATGAAAATCACGACATGATGTTCGTATGAATATCAAGAATGTTGTCCGGGTTCAATTAAAAAAGATATTCCAATGTTTAACAAAACGTTCACGTTAACGTTTTGTTAAACATTGGAATATCTTTTTTAATTGAACCCGGACAACATTCGTGATATTCAACGTTTCACAACGTTTTATAAATTATAACGGTGTAATGTGAATAACAAACTAGGTTTTAAATTCGCAGTTCGCAGGGCTCATGCGCATGCAAATTTTGCAAATATCACACCGTGAGTTATACATGATATCACTGTGATGAAGCATGTGTATGCACTCAGCATATCAGAGCGTGATAAAAAAATCACGTTGTGATATCATCATGACTTCACCAGGAAATCGCGATTGTTGTCCGGGCACATCCATGTATTTAAAAATAAACAATTTATTTTCATAAAAATAATGATAATTTTGCAGTAAAAAAATCGAAAGTTTAACTTTAACCTTAAATAACTTTTAAACCAGTAAATTTATCAAAAAAACTAAGAAAGCTTTTTTGTACAGCGTTCAATTTCCTATAAAAATATGTATCTCTTATTGCTGTATATTAATTTGATCGGGAAAAAAATTAAATGTAAAACGTGCCGAAACTCCATGTTATTTAAATGGGATTTGTATCGTCTTTGTGGCAAGGTTTAATATGAATATTAAGAGCTTATATGAGTCTGATATTTTTTTTAGGTTATAACTAAAAATTGAGGGTGCGCTGAAAAAAACCAATCTAATATACATAGATATATAAACAGTTTTGCTCAAAATCACAAATAAGACATTCGAATTTAAAACTTTAAAATATATCGAACTGTTTTTATTCATATTAATTTGATCTCTCAAAGTAAAGTATAAATAGCCACATTGATAAGTTATCAGCCTCTCACCCAATCGTCCTTGTAAGAAAGGAAAATAATACAAAAAATGTTATTTTTTATTTTATAATTTTATCATTTATTGTTAGCTATGTTGCAAAAGTTGTATAGCTACTTTATTTAGTTTTTAAAACATTAATCATGTATTATAATTAAAGAAGTTGATGGATAAAGGTGTTAATTAACATTTACATTCTTTTAAGTCCAAAAAACAATTTAATCAAAGTCCAATGGGACAAAACTATCGCACAAAACAAAAACACGAAAAACAACAAAACAACACTAACAACAAAATAAAGTAGAAAGTACAGAGATAAATAATTTAAAAAAGTAATGATGCTTCTCTGAGAATTGATTTTCGGTTGTCAAACGGATGCTTTTCCGAATTAAAAACGATGTCAAAATTACCCATTGCCCTTTGTTAGGTAAGATTACCATCTGACCGCGCGATTTTTATTTTATAAATTTTCATAACAAAATAATACAATGTGGCATTAATATTTAATTTTAGATTATTTACCCTTCCTCATGATCATTTTGATACGGTAATATAATATGTATTTAAATGAAGTCTTGGGTTGGGTGTTGTGTTGGTAGGTTTATTTTAGTTTTATCGTAACAATTACATGAAAATGTAAAATTATGACGTCAGTCGGGATCGAACTTAAAATACCTGTCTGTGCGACGATAGGATAGTTTTGTGTAAGATTAAGTATCGGGGTATCCCAAAGTAAACGCACTGGCGCCATACCCTGATATAGATAATAGTTATTTATGTCATTAGGCCAACAAGTGTGCTGACATTTATGGACGGCCCCTTGACAGTACGTTTTTTACGTTATTATCAATTACAAACCAAAATCCTTAACCAAAAGCCTGGATTCTCGTTTACAAAAATTTGCAATCATCATGCATTAGCATCTCTTGTTATTATTAAACTTACCGCTGTTTTGCATAAACTTTTGGCATGGTGGTGGGTGTTTGGAAAAGTCCTGCTTGCTATTATTTTTGGTGACATTCGTAACAGTTATATTGGTTCCACCACCTGTGGAAGAAATAATTTTTTGTCCACTGCCTCTTCTTTCTGCTGATGCTTGCGGGTGACGAAAATAGTACATAAAACTGTCATCAAGCTCTGTTGGGGAAAATGTGCTTTGATCCAAATCAAACCTATAATAAAGGTTTTGAAACGTTTAATAATAATAAATAAAAATCCACCTCAAAATATCCCGAGGTCACTTTAATTAAAGTAGACATGGTTGTGATATTGAAAACTTTAAAGTCAGTTATGTAGATAATGGGGTTGGGACATGATCAGCGTAAAACTACTTCTATTAAAACAACCATACCGTTAAAAAACAATTTTTGACAATAATTTTTCCTTAAAAATGAGTTTAAAAATCGATAACGACCCACAAAATATTAGAAGCTCGCGACCCGATAAAAAATAAAATCATCAATTTTCTACATTTTCTTCATTTAAAGTAAGTTAAGCAGTGATTACGGCGCGTTTTTTCGAAAAGTCCCGCGACCGATCTCGATATGGCCCGCGACCCGAGGTTAAGAAACGATGATTTAAAATATCAAAAACCTGTTTTTCGACATACGTCCGGCTTAGTATTTGTTTTTTTTTTTAATTTTTAAAGAATTTAAATTCTTTAAAGAATATTAAACATAACCTAGAAAATGATTGAAACAGATGTTTAATTAATTCGTAATTCTTGACAAATCTGTTATATAACATCATGGCGTCACGATCTCTTTTCAATGCCATCAGAGCCTTTTAAATCTTTCGGTGTTCAAAACTCTGTAGCGTTCTCAAAAATGGTTTAAGAAACGTAGGAAATTGTTATAACAAACAAGCGTAGACTTCAAATATGCCATAAAAAAATTGAAATAATTTAAATGTTTTTTTTTAAATATTTATACAAAGCGTTCTAAAGATAGCGCACTAAAGCCATACTAAATGTGAGGGAGAGTTATTTTAAGTATAAAATATTATTAGCATTTAAGTATAAAAAACAACATGGCACACTGTGAGTTTAATAAACTAACACATTAAAAGTACAAAAACATTACAATAAGGGTTTAAAAATGGAAGTAAACTTTAATTTTTAAACCTTTATAATTATAATGCTGTTGTACGCCATTTTCGGGACACCCTGTATAATAATCCATAACAACCATATTTTGATGTGTCAGCTTATTTAACATACAGTGTTATCAAGTTTATTATACTTAAATGCATAACACTAACAAAACCATCTTGCCACAGGGTGGTCAACAACTTTTCTAGTGTAATAATTCTAAAAATAACCATAATTTTGCTACAATGCTTTGCTTACATTTAAAAAGTTCACCTAAAAAACCCTATTTGTGGAAATAAAATCGTACTTAGTTAACATTCTACAATTGCTGAATCCCTCATCCAGCAATCCAGCTGGATCCAGCACATTTTTCAGCCTACTGATTTACTTTCCAAATATTGGCGCAAAAGTCTACGTTGACAGGGTTGCCGCTTTGCTAGGTGCGCTAACGCCCAAACATCCTCGGACGGAGAGACCTTACCGTTCGCTCTCGCTTAATAAAGTTTGATGCTAAATAAGCATGATACAAAGAATCATTGTTTCATGCTAAATAAGTGTCTTCTTGACACCACTGCGGCCCGGGTTGTTTGTTGTGAGAACTTTAAGTATTTTGACTGAATTTTAATTTATTTATAAACATTACATTAGTTCAATTACAGATACTGTATCTGAGATACATCAGTTCCAAATCAGACGGGGAAGAGAGTTCGAGCGCTATTAGTACCTCTCCACAATAAAATTCTTAAATAAAATCAGGGTACCTGTTCTCCAAAGGCTTAATAGAAACATTAAATAATTCCATGGGTGAGGTCCGTGCGGACACGGAAGTAATAAAGTGACAGGGGACAGGTCAAGGAATCACCTATTAATAGGTTTCTTTAAATTTAAAGAAATACGAGTCTAACCCAGAGTGGAAGGGGCGATCATCTGCAGAATCTGATAAGTATCAATGCATGACCTAACACGCAAATCGGTAACAAAAACCTGGCAATAATTAATCATATCGATAACAGCGTATGAGTGTAATAAAAAAACCAAATCAAGTAAGAACGTCACAATAGTATATTATTGTATTATATATATTATATAATATAAGCATAAACAGGCCAGCCCCATAAAATTTAAGCTTTTAGATAACGAAAGTAAAATAATAAACAAAACGAGCACGTAATAAGACTAAACTAAACAAACCATCTATTAAACTTAAGCAACATCGTTACACGCCTGCCATTAGGGCCGTATTCCAAATTTTAATACGTTACACCACAGGGGCCGGCTTTATCCTATGTATATTATTAATTACATATAATACAAACTTGGAACAAAATAAATGTTTGCTAAGATTAATTAAATGTTAATGGTAAATGGTATAATACATTCATTTTAAAAATAAAATAAATTTAATAATATACAAAAAGATTGTGGGGAAAGTAAAAACAACACCCCAGTGGGGTAAACAACTGCAAGCCTAATTAATGAACCCCAATTGAATGGGGTCATTATTAATACCCTGGTTGAGGGGGAGTCCGGATTGTATTTAGTTTTGGGTCAGTTCAGGGCCCCCAAAACCCCTCCTAGTCCTACACTCCACTAGCCTTAATCGGGCGTATGGTCGGCCCGGCGACAAAATTCCGGGAATGGCCTTAACCATCGACACTATTACTAATAATAATTTACTATAGTATAGCTAGCTAATCAGCTTTTTAACTAAGTTATCAAAAAAACCTATATTATACAGAGTTTAAAAATTAACAAAACATGAAAAAAAAAATTTATTTATTTTTTTAAAGTAATAAAACGTTTTTCAAACATTTATGTTAATTTTATTTTAATGCAAAAGCAAAAATCAAAATTTTAAAAATATAAAATTAAGTGACTATAGATAGTGCTATCGATGGGTGACGTTCATAATATCGAAATTCACTTTATCGAATTCAAAATATCGAACACTTTTTATCGAAAATCAAAATATCGAAAATAAAAAATGTCGAAAATCAAAATATCGAAAATTCAAAATGTCGAAATGAAAATATCGAAATTTTATGTAATCGAATTTTCAATTTATCGAAAATAAAATCTCGACCGCTGTCATACAGGTTATGACGAATAGCTGTCATCTTGGTTATGCAGTTACACTGCATTGTGCCATACCAAACCAACCCAAACTTAACCCAACCCAACCGACCCCGCCCCATTGGGCCCCTCCCGCCCCATTGAGCAATAGAGGTATAATATATCTAAGGGCAGGCTGGATTGTGACAATGGGGCGGGAGGGGCCCAATGGGGCGGGGTCGGTTGGGTTGGGTTATGGGCCCTCTTCTCTTCCTAATATATATGAACGATTTTACAAACTGTGATATTAGTGGTAAGATAACATTATTTGCAGATGACACTGCCCTTATTTATAGTGGAACTAAAGGAAAAATGTTTAGTAATGCTCAATGTGATCTCAATAAAATTACTGAGTGGACCACCGAAAATGGTATAAAATTAAACGAAAGTAAGTCGAATTATATGATATTTAATAATAACTGTGATAACCAATATAATTTAAAAATTTACAATGAAATTATTGATGAAGTGACATCCACAAAATATCTTGGCTTAAAACTGGATAATAAATTAAAATTTAGAATGCATATACAAAATATAAAAAACAAAATAAATTCTGCATGCTTTTTTATTCGCAGAAATACAGTTTTTCTTAATCTGCAGACTAAATACCATTTATACCATGCATATATGAATAGTCACCTAATGTACCTCCCATGCATTTGGGGCCAAGCGACTGAGTATGACCTAAACCAGTTACAAGTCACTCAAAATCGAGCAGTAAAACTTATATTTTGTAAACCTCCAAGAACAAACACCTCAATACTTTATCATGATCTAAAATTGTTTCAAATACACGAGATTATTAAACTGGATTCATTAAAATTAGTATTTAAAATCAAAACCAACATGATACAAACCGAATTAACTCTACAAATGAACTGCAATATACATCAGCACAACACCAGGACAAATCAACATTATCATGTTTTACCTAGTGCTAGAAACATAGGTCAGCGAAGAATTGGACACACTGCTGTTGTATGGTTTAATGAACTGCCAGAATATATAAAAAATGTGAAATTACTATGTACTTTTACCTCATTAGTTAAGTTGTATTTATTAAACAAGAGAAATGTATCCACATAATTATGTTTGTTACCTGTTATGGATTCTTTCGTAATCTTTTTGGGTTAATAAATAAATAAAAAAAAAGTTTGGGTTAGTTTGGTATGGCACAATGTCGTGTACCTGCATAACCAAAATAACAGCTATTCGTCATAACCTTGATTTAGCCTCTAGTTGAAAATGAGGTTAAAATATGCGACGGTTGAGCACACACTTTTCTATATATAATAGTGGGCGGTCAAGATCAAGAAACAACTTTACCAAGCCCCTAAGGGTCAAGCACCTAAACCCCAAGTCGGCTAAAACCGGATAAGAAAATTTCCTAAATTGCATGACCTTAATAATACCAAAATACTAAATCCTAATACGATATTCGCAACCTCAATTAACAAAGGTAAAGGTAAAAATTAATTAGTTCCAACAGCAACCTCCGCCAATGAACTAATTAATTGGCTCACACTAACAAACACATATTAACAGTTAAGTGCAGACAAAAACCATTCAGTGCATTACCAAAACAATCATTCGACAAAACCAATAAGCGTTAACACTCTCATAAATCTTAATTAAGCCAAACCAAACATGGAAACCGTAAACACCTAGACCACTTAGTAAGTATAGTTAAAACACCACCCGAGGAAAACTGCATGGTGGCCTCTTTACCCCACTAACTATACAAAATGCCGAACAGGTCAGCAAAAGAAATGGCACAGACGGTCGTGCTACCACCGTTACGCTCACATTATAGACATGGAACGTAAAACAGAGGCGTACTCAAACGACCACTCACAAAATGAGTTCTGGGTAGGACTTGAAACAATAATAGCAGCATCGGACGTTTTTAACGTGGTAATTGAAATATACCACGAACAGAGGGGCATAGACAAGATATCCTTTAGACAG